ATACCCTATCATTATCCCCATCGAAGAGATCGAGGAATGATGCTTGAGTGCCGATGGCACCTTTTGTGCCTCGGAACCGAATTAGATGGTCCCTGGCATGTTCAATGTTCTCCAGGTCCATTAGCAGTTCCTGGATCCAAAGACACATACGACGGCCAACAGTTGTTGGCTGAGCTGGTTGTAGATGGGTACGACCCAGACAGACTACATCTCGATACTGCCTGGCCCGACTCGCTATACGATCAATGCAGCGTGCCACCTTTGGCGCAAGCAGTTCGAAGGCGTGTCGAAGGCAAATGAGATCGGCGTTATCTCCAACATAGCATGACGTAGCGCCTGCCAAGTAAATAGGGAGTAACACGGTTGGGAAACAGAAAAATCATTTTTTGGAAAGAGACACAAACTACTACAGCAACAATATGCAGTAAGTGCATAACTTAACAAACGGTTGACTCGAACTTCTAAATTTGCACTCAAATGGTTATTGCTGTTTAAATGGGTGCGGTTATGAAGTATACGGGCAAATTTTATTTACTACGAACGTTCGTTGAGAATTACGTCATGCTAGGGCTGTAAATACGAAAGAAGTACATATCCTCTTCAAGCGTTAGTTTAATGCGCAAAATTGCTTCCTCAATACAGGCTTCGCTTTTATATACTCGAAGGGTTTAAGATAAATCTGTGTATATTATTTCTGAGGAGGGTTTCCTAGCTAATAATGAGCTTACAAACTAATCCTAGAAATATTTCACAGCAATCGAAATATTTAGCATGGCAAAATAGCATAACCGACAAAAACAAAGGAGATTTGGATTGCCATTTCTAGCTTATTGGCTGTCATTAGCCAGCCATACCCAACTCTGAGGTTTGCAGCCCTTGAAGCTCAGTAAAGTCTAAGGCCCTAACCTTGGGCTCCTTGTCCCGTCGGTCGCGATCGGTGAACGCCCTTCTACCATTGGTAACATTTACCACAGGCACATCATGGCACATTTTCAAACAACATTAGCCATAAAACAGCCGACGAAAGTCCGCTATGCAAAATTTGCTGCAGCGTTCAATTCCGGCCAATAAAACAGTGTGACACTTACTGGAACTAAAGGGCGTACTTAAAAAAGGCATCATTGTTTTCAAGGTCTGCTTTGGCTCCAAAACTGCGCCAATGCCTGTCGACAAGATTGACCTGTAAGCGGCTGTAACGATGTCGAAATTTCGTCAGGAGGCTGACAAATCAACCCCGACTACACGCATAATGTTGCCCTGCTTGTGGCAAGCATAGGTGAGTCATTGAAAGCAGTGTCTGGGATGAACAAGGTAGTCTAATCGATCAATTTATCCAGCAACGCTGTGGATGCGATCTTGAAGTGCGTCTCTGATCAAGAAAAGTCATGTCCCTTGATAACTGATTGTCAGCTCAATGAAGAAGGCAACTTCAAACGTCTAGAGACCGAATCGTTTTCAAGTGAACATAGTTAGCAAGGCTAAC